TCATGGGTCGGGCCGGTGACATGTTGAGACAGCCCCATGGCCGTCATGGAAGCCATGAAGTCCTGAGCCGCCCCGGTCAAACTAGCCTCGGCATGGATATTGAAGTCCCCCAGGACCAGCATCCTGGGGGTCCTCAACACCAGGTCCGAGACCGTTTCCGTCAGCTCAGGCAGGGAGACTGTTGGGCAGAAGGGTGCACGGTACACCAACAGAATCCCCAATCTGTCTCGGTCGCCCAACACCAAGTAGAGACACTCTAGCCCTGGTCTCGAAGGGACAGGAAGTCCCGTGAGAGTGATGGAGGCCCGGTAAACCAAAGCGACCCCCCCCTCCCCTCCCCTCCGGCCGTGCACAGTGCTGGACCATATACCCGGGCGGGCACAATTGAGAGAGGGCAACATCCCCCCCCTCTCCCGCCCAGGTCTCCGTTATACAGGCCAGGTCAGCCCCCTCATCCACAATCAAGTCATGGATGAGGGCAGATTTATTGGCCGACCTGGCATTAAACAACAGCACCGTCAGGCCCGAGGGGCGACTGACAAGACTCCCTGGCACCTTCTGGCTGGGAGCAAAACCAGAAGTAGGGACAGGTGTCAGCCATCTGTCCCTCCTTCTTCTATGCGGACACGTTAAGCCCCCACCGCTATTACGTCCATTGCCCATCACCACACCAATGGCGGCGCCAGTGCGCTCCCCAGGAAACTCAGGCGGCAACATGGCCAGGGACGACTCCATAAAAACAAGTTAAAACACTTTAAAATTATAAAACATTTAAAATTGGCCGTTCAACAGAAGGGACTGCCACAACAAAAGAGCAAGTCCCCTGGCCAGCCTAGCCCCCCCCGAACAGCCCCCCCAAACGGCGGCAAACCGCCCTTTGGCCGACGCCCTTTGGCCGCCGGCCCCGGCCGCTGCTGGTGCTTTGTAGCCGCCGGCAGCCCGACGCCCCACCCCGTCCGGGCACGCCTGCCACGTGTGCAGGGGCGTGGCAGGGCAGTCAGGTAGCGGCGGAGTCGGCGGCGCGGCGCGGTCTTCGCGCGGTCTTCGGGCGCGTGCGCGGCGCGGTCTTAGGGCGCGTGCGCGGCGCGGTCTTTGGGCGCGTGCGCGGCGCGGTCTTTGGGCGCGGTGCGGTTCTCGGGCGCGGGCGCGGTCTCCTGCCAGGTGTTGTTCCTCCCGCCGGCGCTCCCCCCTGCGGCGCTTTATAGCCGCCGGCCACCCGACGCCCCACCCCGTCCGGGCACACCTGCCACGTGTGCAGGGGCGTGGCAGGGCAGTCAGGTAGCGGCGGAGTCGGCGGCGCGGCGCAGTCTTCGCGCGGTCTTCGGGCGCGTGCGCGGCGCGGTCTTTGGGCGCGTGCGCGGCGCGGTCTTTGGGCGCGGTGCGGTTCTCGGGCGCGGGCGCGGTCTCCTGCCAGGTGTTGTATAAGGTCAAGGAACAAGACATCCCATTTCTACTGCGACATCCCCATCCTAACTCAGTGGTCATTGAATCCACTCAGGGTCGACAGACCAGAGAACACTCTACACCGACTGATCATGAGGGCTGATAAATTGACATGGTGTCTCACCAGATCTATTCTGCCATGGTCCTTGGACTTTGAATCTCCAATTATGAGCCACTATGGCCTGCTATCAGTATTTTTTGTGGCAAAGAATGGAGTCACTTGCTGCATTCCTCCCTGACCAACAAAGGGACTTGAGCAGACTCTTCATCAATGCAGCTTTCCAAGCAACAGCTAGTGATGGTGAGGCATCATGTTGACTGCTACTTCAGAGCGCTTGTCAGTGCAGTCACCGTCAGTTGACATGCATGGCTCCAAGCTGACAATTTCCCCCAGGAGACTAAGCAGAGAGTGGAAAACATGCTCTTTGATGGCACCAGTCTCTTCCACACCCATACAGATGAGAAGCTGGAGTCAATCCAAAAAGTGCGCCTTACCTTTCACAAAATGGAATGGGGACCCTCTCCTCAGCAAATTTGTAAGTGGCCATGGAATAGGTGGAGTCAATACCACCCCTTCCAACCTTACCACTGGGGTATTCCATGGGTCACCAACCATTCAACGAACAACCTACCCGTCCCTGCCAATCCCAACAACCCGCGAAGTGCCTTGACACCAACAGATGAAACCACTAATGAATCACACCAACTTCCCCTTTCTTCAAAATCTCCTCTCTCATTCCGGGATATATTGCAACATCATCTCCCCGCATGGGAGCCCATCACATCTGATCAATAGGATTTCCTAACTAGAGCACAGATACAAGTAAATTGTGAGACTGCATTGTCTTTGCCAGTCCAGCCTGCGTGCACAGGTTCTACCTGAACTCTTTCATGGTACCGAAGAAAGATGGGGTACTAGCTCTATCCGAAATCTTTCTCCAATGGGTGCATCTATACCGGTATTCTTAATGCCACTGATACTGATGCTGTGAACCTTCCCTAACAATCAGGGCCTCACCTCCCTCATTTGGTGATAGACTACAATATCATCCCCCCACATGGGAGGCCAGCAGGCCTGACCCATAGATCTTCCTGACTATATACCATGTACGCAGAATCAGAGTAGAGACTGCACCATTTTCACCAGTCTGACCCGCGTACACAGTATCTACTCCAACTATATCATGGTACCAAACAGGGATGAGGACGTTCACCCCATTCTAAACTTACCGTACCGAATAAACATAGGAACATTTGCCCCATTCTACGCTAACATGGAGTCAACTGACTCATCAGACTACTGAACTCAAGAACGACTACACTCTAAAATATTCTTCTGTCGCTCAAAGACAATCACATCTTGGAACTAAAACAATTTCCTGTAGACTTTTACCCAACACATGATCACTTCCTAGGTTCGTAGTCGGTTTCGAAGTACAAGATACAATGTCCTCCCCCTTGCCCCGTTACAGCAATGAAGGCTTTGACAAATCATATAACAGATCTATCCATTTATTATAGAACACTGATCTGGAATCAGGTTCAAGACGACACCCTCTTCACAAATCCGGCTGCTGTGCTCAGTTTTCTCCTCAAGCTACCAGACTGTACTGAATAGAGATGGGGACATTCGCCTCTTCCTAGACCTAGGTAGAATTTACTCATCCTGAGAATGTCCATTTTATACAAATCCGAGCCATGGATCAGACCATTACAGCTATGGTTCAACTGCAGTTCCACCCCTGTGCTCTCGTCAACACACACTGATGGTCGAAACCGACCTGACCTAAGGGATACCGTGCCGACCATCGAACCTGACTGCCACACTAGATACTGATGCATCCCCAACTGGATGTGCAACCCATTGTATATTGCTCCCGACTTAAGATATCTCACATACTCACAAAATAGTGAGACATATTGACTGTCTAGAGTTGCTAACAGTGTCCACAGCTCTCCTTCCAAAGTATCCTGGAGGTACAGACCATTCAGATAGTGATGGACAATATGCTGAGCAGTGTTCTACATGAGTTCTCCAAGGCAAATGGGAGAAGTTTAAAAAATTCCAGAGAATGGGAAAAATTAAAATGTGCATGTGCATAAGAAAAAATAGTCTATGCTGTATGAGGAGTGAAACGTTTTCTTTGGGACCTCGGGATTAAAACGATACAATACAGTCTATAAGAACTCAGAGACTAAAAGGTTCAGAAGCAAATAGACTCCTCATTAAGGAGATAAATGCACAGCTAAAGAAGCTACAGGATATATATCTAACTGCTTGTAGTAGTCCAAAATACGGCTGTCTCTTGGTTGTGTGTTAATTTTTCTAAAAAATGCTTACTCCAATAAAAATTGGCTCTGTATTGAGTAATGATTGCAATTAAGTCTTAGGTAGCATTACTACTTTGGTTCTTCTATCTTTCAGAACCTTATCAGAAGACTTCAGTCTGTCAGGGATGCTTTAAGTGAAGCCCTGCACTGAGCAGGAAGTTGGATTCAGTGGCCTTGTAGGCCCTTCCAACTCTATTATTCTATAAATCTGTGAAACAAAATTTAGGATTTATTGACTTTTTCCATGACCCTGCTTGGCTTGCTTCTTTATTAAGTATCATCCTAATTAAAAGTGCTTATAGTTTCAGGGCTGGACAAAAGACAGTTAAGAAAAATTGTATTAGAAGCATCTTTTAAAAATAGATTGGTAAAGAAGAATGATTTTAACAATATATGGAATCTGTTTATTGTACATGTATTAACAAAAAGGGAGGGTGTTAAACCGCCAATGAACATATTGCGATTTAGGATGGAAGGGGGTATTTTGGAAAGAGCAGAAAAATGAAAGAGGAAAAATATACTAGGCAGCCATGGTTCCAGTGGAGGGGTGCACTAAAGGTCACTTTTTTAAAAATATATATTTTGTATATTGTGTGTTTTTTGTTATGATTTTTGTATTTGTATCTTTTAAAAAATAAAAATGGGGAAATTCCAAGTATTAATAGATATCTAAGTTCCAAGTGCTAGTTATTGGCCTCCAAACTATTTAGCTATAAGGAATATCTGGCCACCTCTCTTCCCACTTCATCTCACTGTTTTATTATCTAAAATATCTATATTGACCCCTTTATGTATTAATAAAATGTGTGCTGTGTGCTGCTTCGTTCTGTTCTTGTAGGAGTAAAGCTGCCAGCTTTTGCAAACTCTCCAACAAGAGGGAACCATCATGGTGCAGTGATGGTTCTGATTCACTGGAAGTCGAGTTCAGGGTCCTTTTTCTTGCCTCAGCATTCCAGCTATTTATGGAAGGTGCTGAATACAAATCAGTTGTATATCTCATTTCAGCTGCCTATGGACTGTACATATGAACATAGGGAAAGTGATTGTAAAACAGGAAGAAAATACATTTAATTAAAATTTTATCTGATTTAGCATTAGATGCCACCATACCTAATACATAGTAAACTTCATGATATTCTGCTGGTTCATTAATTTCCATTCTCCCTAAACTTCAGCTTTCCGTACAAACAATGTAGCAGATTAACTGTTCCTCCTCTTTAATCAAGGTATACGGCTGGGGTTATAACGGCAATGGCCAACTAGGTCTGGGAAATAATGGCAACCAGTTAACACCGTGCCGAGTGGCAGCACTCCAAGGTGTTTGCGTAATGCAGGTGAGTATAAAGTTCCACTTAGTTATGAGTTTCTGTCTTGTCTCAAAGATTTGTGCTTAGAACTGTAGCTTAGAACTTCCAGTTTCACATTGGAAGAACATACGGAAGAAGTTTGCTTATTTATTTATTCATCTGTACCACCCAGAAAATAAAGTTTTACACTTAGTTGACAATATAAAACCATAAAATACAAAAACACAATAATATTTTAATGTTTTAAAGCAGAATAAAACCATAGTAAAAGCTAATAGTAGTGCAAAAATGTGAAAATAGATTAACACAGTTTTTAAAATGGACTAAATCATTTACTTAAAAAAATGATTTCACCTGACACTGCAGAGATAAGTGTGAAGCAAGTCTTTCTGTCGCAGGCATTCCTAAATTGGGGTGCCTGCAGTGAGTCAGGTTCTCTCCTTGGTAGCCTTGCTTCTTTTGCTTCTTTGGTGGAAGCAACTGGAAAAGGGCCTCTGACCAATGGTATAATGCTTACAGTCTGGTTCTCTGTATATGTGCTATTCTTGTTTCAAAGCAGTAAAAGGGCACATGGGATCTTACTAACTAGGTATGAATTCTTGGACTCTTTCACTGACTACATTCAACCCTAATACTTGTGCCAACAAGTATAATAAATTTACAGCACAGTGAGGTTGTTGGAATTATAGCTTTCTTCAGGAGCATCCATGGGATATTTGGCAAGAGATAAAAGGAGGAGCCATTTGAAGATCTGAGCAGGAGTGTGTGCCACTCATGGTCAGGAATGGCGAGGAGGCGGGGAGGTCACATTCCTGTTTATAGCAAAGACAGGCCCCCTTGACTGCCTGTTCTTTTAAGCTTGTCCTGCTGCCTGTTCCCTGCCCCCTGGGTTAGGAGATGAACAGCATAATTACACCAAGGCAGAAGGGGCCTATATATGTATTGTGTATCAAGAATGTGAGACTACTTTATTATGTATTTAGCATATATATTTATACAGAAAATAAGAATGAGTACTCTGGTCAAAATAAAAGCAATTCAGTTGCTGGCATGGCTTAAGAAAAAGTGACTAAATAGATCTGGAAGTAAAAATGTATTGATGAGCTTTTGGAGTTTGGAAATATTTTGAGTTATTCTCAGTTAAGCAAGCATCGTCCCATAAACGAGGTGCTAATACTCTGTGGGACAAATCTCTTGGCATTTAAAATGAATGCAGATTGTGCAATGAGTAGTAAAATTCAAACAGTGATTTCATCTTGAATTGGCCTGTCAACCTGAATTCTTATTAATATTAACTCTTTGGAAATGTACTTGCAGATTGCCTGTGGCTATGCGCATACACTAGCACTAACAGACGAAGGTTTGCTCTATGCCTGGGGAGCTAACACTTATGGACAGCTAGGGTCTGGCAACAAAAGCAACCAGCTAAGCCCAGTGCAGATCATGATGGAAAAAGAGAGGTAAATGTTGGTGTAGTTAGTCCTTTGGGGACTGGAAGGCAAGGCTGTTTTGTGTATTTTCTATTCATGGCACAGGTAAAGGGAGCTGTGTATTCAGTCTTCCTTCTTGCATAAAGCAAGATAACAGTTCTTTCTCTCTGCCTTGTGTATAAACCTGAAACTATCCATAATATTCTGTCAGTGTGATGAAGTGGTCTGTAGTCCATGCAAACTAGTGTCAGATTAAGGTGCCACAAAATGCATTGGTTTTGCTGTAATGTCTGTCCCCTCTGGAAATTCTGTACAGGGCAACTTCTCAAAACAGGCTCTGTGGCAGGGCTTCAACTATCAGTTCTGTCTTTAGCCAGTGATCTAGAGAAGAACAATTTCCACTACTAGAATGCATTGCTTTATGAAATCTAGTAAGGAACATTCTTTTTTGTGGTCTCTGTGTAACACACACATGGTTACTGCATCTGCACAGTGCCTAAGTTCGGGAAGGTTCTCATAGTTGAGTACTTTTTTGGTGGGAGCTCCATTCCCCCACCCCTAGTATAAATAGGCAGCACTCCTGCCATTTCATTAGTTCACTTTTGACCACTGCTCACTGTGCCTCAGGAATCTTCTTACTCTCTTGCTTAGAAATCACCTCAGTTTTTTCTTCTTACGATACCTTTCTTTTGATAACTTTTTTCAGCTGCTTCTGTTCCCCTTCACACTCTCCCACTTTCTGCATTTTCCCCCTTGCCTCCCAAAATCACTCCCTCATATTTTTTTTTAAACCCTTTTATTATCTAAAATTATCTTCTCTTCATCTGAGAATTATCTTCTCTTCATACTTATCTTCCTCAATGGCTCAGTGACCTGCCTTCCATACTAAGTGCAGGGTTAAAATGTCCTCCACTTTGCCTGCTATGCCCAAGTGCCCTCATTGCCAGGCATTCACTAAGCAGGCCAGGAAAAACAAGAACACCTAAAGAGGGAACTTTGGGATAGGGCGGTGGTCTCACACATTCAGCATGTGTGAGCCCACTGCTGAATGCTTGGGAGAGATAAGGTCTGAATGCACCCCTTCCACTGTTAAACCTCCCTCAAAAGACTCGGTTCAGCCTTCAAGACAGTCAGGCCCTTCTGATCACCAAGAAAATGTAAGGAGAAAAGGAAACACGTCGAGACAAAGGACCTGAAATGAGACAAGCAGTCTGGTGGAGACAAATCTGACAAAAAGTGGAAGTTTCATTCCCATTCCGATTCTTGAACCATGAATCCTACATCAGATGATGAACTGATTCATTTGTTGGTACCGATGAGATCTCCAGTTCGACCACCATCAGTACAGTCTATTCAGTCAACCTCAAGAATGCCACCTTGATCAGAAACTCCCTGTACAGATATGGTTCTTCCCACTTCCATTTCACAGGGCAAGATACATGATTTTCTACCAAGATCACCATCTCTTCCCATTATCTCCACCTTGACGGATCTCCACACCATGAGAGGAGCTGCAGTTAAGACCCCCTCCTACTCCTCACTTCTGTGGACTTCACTCACCACACCCTTCACTGGTTTTGACCCACCATTCTATCCATAGTGGTGAACTGGACTCACATCAGTACAGAAGACAGTTATACTGCATGCTACCACCATACCCTCACTACAGTTTTCCATACCCATGGGACTACTCTGCACCACCATATGAGTACCCATGTCCTCCGATCTGTTCTCAACTACTTCGACTGCAGCAGCTACAAGAACAGCCATCCACACTGGGCAGAACTCCCATCTCGCAACCCTGGACAATGGAACCAGTAGCATCACTGCCATCCTCCACATCATCATCCCACATGGACTATGCCTCCAATTGGGATTCACATCAAGACACAGAAGAAACTGCGTTAATATCACCAAATAACATGTTCTCTGCACAAGGACCTGGTTCACCAGGAGAGAGTCTAGGCCAGGGGTCCTCAAACTTTTTCAACAGGAGGTCAGTTGAAAGGTACCAGTGGTGGGCACAGGCTGGCAAGGCGATGCTGGTGGCATGCGCGGGGCATGCGAGGCAGCGGCTTGCTTGCTTGGAGATTATTTTCTCTGAGTGAGTCCAAAACGATCTCTGCGTGAGCAAGCCACCGCCTCCCTGTGCGCACTGTGAGGCAGTGGCAGGTGGATGTGGCGAGTCCAAACCTCTGAGGCGGGCTGGATAAATGGGCATGGTGGGCTGGATCCAGCCAGTGGGCTGTAGTTTGAGGACCCGTGGTCTAGGCCAATTCTCTGAACTGGTCATTCGTATGGCTTTGTCACTCGGGATTGTTGCCCAGCAGACCACTGAACCGAAACGTGATTTAGCGCAACATATGGGAATTGGAACAAGCCATCAAAGAGCACGTAAGTGGCCCTGGAGCCTCACTTTACAACACTGCACCTTCCAGCCTAATCAACAAACCTACCTCAGTGGGCATCAACAATATCTTTAACATCCACCAAACCAACCTCACCACACCAACGCTACCCGTCCTCAGCATGCTAGGAAAAGGTTGGATGCTGACAAAAGACAGTATTGACAGGTAGTATGAACCAGCCCCTTCCAACTTCACCATTCCCTTTTGGGGATTGACTGAATCACCACCTCCACATCTGGGAATCTATCACATCCGATTGGTGGGTCCTGTCCATTATATACCATGGATATAAAATCGAGTTTGAGACCCTGCCTTCTCTCTGAATGGTTTGCAGAACGTCACCTTCTTCTGTTCTCCAAGAAGAGATCAAGATACTGTTAAAGGAGCTATGCAACAAGTTGACTGATCGGAGAGACGGCACAGTTTCTATTCGAGATACTTCACTGTTCTGAAAAAGGATGGGGAGGTCACTGTCCCATCTTAAACCTACATTGAGTAAATCATTTTTATAAGTACAAAGAAATTTAGAACAACCACTTTACAAACTATTCTACCTTTATTACAACAAGAGGGACTGGTTCACAACCTTAGACCTGAAGGATGCTTATTTTCACATAAGCATCCACCCTGACTATAGACATGTTCTCCAATTCGAGCTTGGTACTGCCATTTATGAATTCAAGGTACTTCCATTTGGACTATCCATGGCACCAAGAGTGTTCACCAAATGTATAACACCAATATGTGCACACCCAAGACTCCAGGGAGTGCAAGTGTACCCCTATTTAGATTATTGGCTATTGGTCTCCTCATCTAAAAACAAACTCTTCCATTTGATTTCAGAAACATGTAATCTCTTGCAGTGACTTGGACTGTGTACAAATAATGAATTCATACTTTTTCCTTCACAGTCAATTGCCTACATCGGAGCATGTATAGAGGCTCCGCAGGCATGAGCCTACTTACCCACAAATCGAATTCAAGAAGTGATGGTGTTAATTTGACAATTGAACTCCAATCTAACAATTACATTATGGATCGTTCAACAGCTCCTTGGCCTCATGGCTTCTACAGTGGTGGTAGTACCATACACAAAGCTACAAATGAGGCCATTACAGTTATGCTTCAATGGAGTGCACTGTCCTGACCTCAACTCACCAAATCAACACATAATACCACCTCACTCCATATGGAAGTCTCTGACATGGTGCTCCATTGAAACCAACCTGAACCGGGGAATTCCATTACTCTTGTCAGAACCGATAGCCACATTAACTGCAGATGCATCCCTAACCAGATGGGGAGCACATTATTTGACATACCAAACTTAAGGAACATGGGAAGGTTTGGAAGACAGGAGACATATCAATTACCTAGAGCTTTTAGCAGTGTTCAAGGCCCTCTGTTCATTCCAGAAACTTCTAATGGGCAAATGTGTACAAGTTGCCATGGACAGCATGACAACAAATAAGGCAGAATGAAATCAGTCTCTCTGGTCCATCTGAGATTACACTAATGGGATCGGGGCATCAACCACCATATCTACCCACAAGCTGTATATGTAGTTGGGACCTACAACACAGTGGCAGATTTGCTGAGCTGACAGCTCTTCCAGACTCATGAGTGTAAACTCAATGACAATGGCCACCACCAACTGTTTCAAGAATTGGGGAACACTGCAACTAAGTTATTCACAACAGAACAGACCAAAGCATGCATCTGCTATTGCTTCAAGGCTGGAATAGGACAGGACTCAATCATGATCCTGTGGAAACATGGTTTCTTCTATGCATTCCCACCATTCCCACTAATAACAAGGACATTAGCAAAAATCAGAAACAGAGCATCATGCATGCATCATGTGTTAACTCCATGGTGGCCAAGACAGGCATGGTTCCCAACGCTTCTTCACCTGTCCCAATGGACATACTTATACCTCCCAGAAAACCCAGACCTCATTTCCCAAGATCATGGATAAATCATGCATCCAAACCTTTACATGTTTAAATTGACTGCCTGGCTGATCCACTGAAACAAATGGCTTGGACCCACAGTTACAAGCTGCTTTGTGACCAACTTCTAGAAAATCCTATGCAGTCAAGGTGAAAAGGTTTACACACTACAACAAAAACCATGCTTTCCAAGCACCCACTGTCACGATCAACACTATTTTGCAGTTCCTGCATTCCTTACATCAAAGCAAACTGAAACCAACTTTGATAAAGGTGTACTTGTCTGCAATCTCACACTACAAAGGACAAATCAAATAGGTCCTCTGTCTTTCTCTAGTGTTCAAGGATAGGCTAGACATGCACATGATAGTCATGTTGTGAGTGGAGCCAACTAGAGCTGGGTGTCAGACTAGATGGCCTGGGAGGCCCCTTCTGACTTGCTCTGTTTCTGTGTTTCTCCCATCCGCTTGTCAGACGCTTTATGAAAGGACTTCATAACTTGAATACTATAGTTTGGTCTTTCATTCCATTTGGAATCAGTGGTGCTACATGCTTTAACCGAACTATCCTTTGCGCCATAAGCATCCAGAGATCTTTGGCTTCTCTCCTGGAAGACATCATTCTTAGCTGCGATCCCATCAGCAAGATAAACAAGTGACTTATGTGCTCTCAGAATATCTGAACTTTCATAAAGAAAAAGTTGTTCTATGCCTCAATTCCACCTTCCTTCCAAAGGTAGCCACAGCATTCTATTTAAACCAAGATATAGTATTACCAGCCTTCTTCCCATCTCCGTCATCTCTGAGTGAACAGTTCCTACACATCTTAGATGTATGCAGGGCTCTTGCCTTTTACCAGTTGCATACAGAACCTTTCCAAAAATCCAAGTGACTTTTCGTCAAGTATGCAGAACATGCCAAGGGAAAACTGATCAGTCCGCAGCATCTTTCCAACTGAATAGTCGAAACCATCAAGTTAGCATACCAGTTGGCCAGCATGGACCTACCAGACAATGCAAAAGGACATTCTGTCAGAGCTGTTTTGACATTGACGGCCCTGAAAACCGGCATACCATTACACAGATTTTGCAGATCTGCTATGTTATTGACACCATCCACATTTGCCCAACATTACCAATCTATGTTCAAGCCAGATGTGTCTGCTCCTTTGGACACACCATTCTGTCTGCAGTTCTCCAGTAATGAGACCTTCTCACCTCCAGAATCGATAAGCCCGCCAATCACCTGTATTTGTGATGCACAGAGATCACAGAAAAGAAGGGCCAGTTGCTTACCTGGAACTGTTGTTCTCCGAGTAGTCATCTGTGCATTCATGCAACCCCCCCCCCCCCCGCCCTGCACCAGCCCCACGTCAGTGTTGGTGATATTCAACCAAGTTCTGGAAAGAAAATTCTGTATCATTATTGACAGCAATCATTGATCTCCAGAAGGCCTGACAAAAAGGCTCTGCTTATTTATACTTGGAACGGGGGGAGCAGAGCTCCTGCCAAAAATCACTCAGCTAGGGGAAGCTTCCTGAACTTATCCACTGTGCAGGTGCAGTACACATATGTAAATGCACAGATGACCACTCAAAGAACAGTTATAGGTAAGCAACCTGTCCTTTTCAGGTGATTATCCCTAGGAATTTCTTATTTATCTGCACAGCTCTTCAAACTATTACTATCTAAAAATGTAAGGGAAGTGTCTACTACTGAATTGAGTTGCCTTAAGATATTTTTGGTGCAACCTTATCAGGTTGTCACCTGCTGGGTAGAATCCTCTGATACCAAATTGCTGGTGAGCCTTGTGAATACTGGCTGTACTTGCCAAGAATTGAGACTGAGGTCCTTTGCAAAGTGGACCAGAATCTGGAGAGCCAGGCCCAGGAAATCCAAGAGATTCCTACTTCCAAATGGATTTCCCATACATTCCTAGTCTAAGTTATGACAAATATGTGTGACTGTCTTCAAAATGTCTTTCAAACTCATAACAGCTTGCTACCAAAACTTCAGCATATCTCTTGTACACCTAGACTGCAGGATATGATCCATCCTTAACAAGGGAATACTGTTAATTCTTTCACTTCTAGATCACCCCTCATCTTCCAGTTTAGCAAACCAAGTCAAGCATCTGTCCTGCAGCTCAACTCTGTGAGGCATTATCTGTTTCCTTAAACACTGCAAGTGCCCAATCTCAGTAGCTGATTAATTTTTGGCTTTCTTCTTTCCTTGACAGAGTTGTAGAGATTGCTGCTTGTCACTCTGCTCACACTTCTGCTGCCAAGACGCAGAGTGGCTTGGTGTACATGTGGGGTCAGTGCCGGGGGCAATCAGTAGTTCTCCCACATGTTACCCACTTTTCTTGCACTGATGATGTATTTGCTTGCTTTTCCACTCCTGCTGTGATGTGGCGTCTCCTCTCAGTAGGTGAGAACTTGCACCACTTGGTGAAAAATACTGAAATAAAGATCCTAGTTCTCATGGCTGGGGGAATGGGAATCACTGCAAAGTGTCTTAAGGGTTAAGCAAGTGATCAGGTTTTGATTCAGGCTTCCTAACTGTCCAGAGGTAAATATTTAGTTCTGATTAACTCATGTCCATTAAATCCAAATTTGTGAAAGTGGTCTTAATGAGAAAAATAAGTAATAAGAAAATTAGCTAGATTTGATGTACTCTGAGCCTTTCTCCTTTGTCTGCAGTAAATGTTATGTTGTTTTTTTTTCTTTGATATATATCCTGCCTTTTTCCTACAAAGGGCTCAAGGCAGTTTATGTTGGCGACATACAGGTATGTGAGGGGATGTCACACGGAGATGGGTAGAGACCTGTTCTCCCCTGCAGAGGAAGGCAGGACACACTCCAATGGAGCAAAGCTCAGGGAACCAAGGTTCCATTTACATGCCAGAAGCACTTCCTGACAGTCAGGACCCCAAGGGTATGGAATGGGCTTCCACGGGAGGTGTTTGAGGCCCCATCGGTGCGGGTGTTCAAAGATAGGCTGGACATGCGCATGGTGGGCATGTCGTGAGCGGAGCCAGCTGGAGCCAGGGGTCAGACTAGATGGCCCAGGAGGCCCTTTCTGGCTTGGTCTGTTTCTATGTTTACATCATACTCCTCCATCTTATCCCCACAACAACAACCCTGTGAGGTAGGTTGGGCTGAGAGTCTGTGACTGGCCCAAAGTCATCCAGCTGGCTCCATGGCAGAGTGGGGACTAGAACCCAGATCGCCTGAGTCCCAGTCCCATGCTCTAAACCACTACACCACACTGGCTCTCACAGTGTTGTAAGGATTAGTATATTTTGCAAAGTTTAGTATGGTGGTACCTTGGCTCATGAACTTAATCCGTTCTAGGACTCTGGTTGTGACCCAAATTGGTCGTGAGACAAATTAAATTTCCCCATAAGGTTCAATGTAAATAAGGTTAATCTGTTCTGTAGCCATTTTTTAAATCAAGAAAAATGTGAAGCAAAGTGACAACAAAGATCGTGGCCATCTCCCCCACCCCGCCGAGCACAAGTGCAGCCATCTCCCCGCTCCCCCCAGCACGACCGAGATCGCGCCCAGCATCCCTGCACGCGCCTGTCATCCCAGCACTCTGGGGGGTGCGGGGGAGAGACAGGTGTGATTGCAGGTGCACTGGGGGAGGAAGAGGTGGGCGCAAACAGCGTGCTGGGCGAGGGAGAGATGGGTGCGATCTCGGCCATCTCCCCTCCGCCCCCGGCACAATCGTGGCCATCTCCCTACTCGGGAGGGGGGGTGGGGAGATGGCCGCGATCACAGTTGCTTTCGTGCAGGGAAGGCGTGCGTGATCAGAGGCACGCTGCTGCAGGAAAGACGGGCAAAGCACAGCACAGCCGTGGGGAAATGGCCGAGATTGCTCCCGTCTGTCCTGCAGGAGCGCGCCTGTGATCACGCACGCCTTCACTGCACGAAAGCAACTGCGATCATGGCTGTTTCTCCACTCGGGGCTGGGGGAGATGGCTGCGATCTTGGTCGTCACCCAATGCGGAGTTCGCGACCCATGTCAAAATTTTAATGAAATTTTTGTTCATGACCCAATTTGTTCGTGAACCAAGGCGTTCGTGAGCCGAGGTATCTCAATTAGTCAGTTCCTGCATGACATTTTCTAGAATTTAAAAATAGCCTGTGTCCCCCTAGGAAGCGTTCCATAAGTAACAAATCTCCCCCATCCTGCTCTGGGGAGAACACAGAGGCAAAGTAGTCATTTAGCATCTGTGCCTATTCCCTCACATCAGTCACTGGATCCCCTTCCTCCTTCTTAAGCAGTCCCACTAACTGTCTTTCCTTCCTCTTGCTATTTACATGTTGATAGAAATAACATGCTTTGAGTCTTTGTGGAAATGGAACCCCAATATGGATAGAAACCATTTCCATTTAAGTACAGTGTCCAGATGTATGGATTCTTTCCTGAAGAAGAAATCCAGATGAAATATGTATTCTGGTAAAATGTATAAAGTCTATGTATTTGGATCATTCATCAGTTTTCCCCTTTATGGGGTACCATCTGTAGTTCAGAGGTGGTACTGTGGAGGTTCTGAAAAGGCTGCATCCACATGGTTAGTCCTATCTCTATGAACAGACCACATGCTACTTACGGTGTGATGTTTAATCTTTGCAGAGCACGAGGACTTCTTAACAGTGACAGAGTCTCTGAAGAGAGAATTCGATAGCCCTGAAACCTCGGATCTAAAATTTAGAGTAGACGGAAAGTTCATTTATGTACATAAAGCTGTTTTGAAAATCAGGTAATGATGTGGCATCTATTAGCTTGACTATATTTATCCATTAACTCACCATTCTCCACCCTCTTTATTTAACTGTATGATGTGGGGTTGATTTGACTTGCCAGGATGGCTTTTGGAATAACACAAAATAGGCTAATGTTTCAGCCTTTTCTGCTTTTGCTTTGAAATTAATTTAAAAAGTTTAGTGCATTGTACAAATTCTAATTGTGGTAACCCCCCTTATAATCAAACATGCAGCCAGGGCATGCCTCGTCACGGGTAAAAGAAAGCATGATCAGGGTGTCCTGTTCGCGTGAACAAGAACAGGAACCCGCAACGAATGTGCACGCTACGCAAGGATGAGAACAAAGCAGACCACGCTCAAGCATAACCGCCAGCGTCACGCCCTTGTAACCTCGCTTGCTTGCCTTAGCATGGGAAAGGTGCAAAATGTGCAAATGTAACTCAGTGGGGTTCCCCATTGTCTGCTGTCATTCATGCACCTGCATAGCTGTAAAAGAGTATAAAAATCCTGCCTTCAATCTGCTCAGTACCACACTCTCACGAGTGCATGGTCCCTGCCGGCAGGTAAATAAATCTCTCGGTAATTCCAACCAGTCTCTGGTCTCGTCTGTAAAATCGCTCCACAACACTAATTTCTGAGGCAGTTGGCTAGAATTTTTTAAACTATAGGTATAGGAAAAGCAATAGGTTTTGAAAAGTAATCTCATCTACGAAAACAACAGATGGTAGCAGAAGGGAAGAACTTAGTTATTAGAATTTACGGACAATGGTCCCCTAATCCCTGAAAGGAATGCTTTCAAGAATTGTATGAAGTTTCAGTATTTCACTGACTAGCCTCTATCAGTATTTATAGGTTAAACTTTGAATCTGTATTTTTTAAAAAAATTGCTTCCCATAAAAAATTATGTTATAATCTATTTGTGAGTTTTTAAGGTGTCATCAAAATCACTATGTATGTAAAAAATCATTGGAGTGTGTGAAGTGGTGACTTTGGATTAGCAGAAAGCACTCATGAAATGTGGACCATCCAGTTTTTTCCAGTTACCCTTCCTTTCTGCAGCAGTCTGCGGTTGTTGTTGTTAGTCGCGAAGTCATGTCTGACCCATCGCAACCCCATGTACAACATTCCTCCAAGCCTTCCTGTCCTCCACCATCTCCCGGAGTCCACTTAAGCTCACACCAGCTGCTTCAGTGACTCCATCTAGCCACCTCTTTCTCTGCCATCCCCTTCTTCTTTTGCCATCTATTGTTCCCAGCATTAGGCTCTTCTCCAGGGAGTCCTTCCTTCTCATTAGGCGGCCAAAGTATTTGAGTTTCACCTTCAGGATCTGGCCTTCTAAAGAGCAGTCAGGATTGATCTCCTCTAGGACTGACTGGTTTGCTCTCCTTGCAGTCCAAGGGTCTCGCAGGAGTCTCCTCCAGCACCACAATTCAAAGGCCTCAATCCTTCGGCACTCAACCTTCCTTATGGTCCAGCTTTCGCAGCCATACATAGCAACTGGGAAAACCATAACCTTGACTATATGCACTTTTGTTGGCAGGGTGATGTCTGCTTTTTAGTATGCTGTCTAGATTTGCCATAGCTTTCCTCCCCAGGAGCAAGCGTCTTTTAATTTCTTGGCTGCAGTCACTGTCTGCCGTGATCTTGGAGCCCAGGAAAATAAAATTTGTCACTACCTCCATTTCTTCCCCATCTATTTGCCAGGAAGTGAGAGGACCAGATGTCATGATCTTAGTTTTCTTAATGTTGAGTTTCAAGCCAACTTTTGCGCTCTCTTCCTTCACCCGCATCAAGAGGCTCTTTAGTTCCTCTTCACTTTCTGCCATTAGAGTGGTATCATCTGCATATCTGAGGTTGTTGATATTTCTACCGGCAATCTTAATTCCAACTGGTGATTCACCTAGCCCTGCCTTTCTTACGATGTGCTCTGCATATAAGTTAAATAGGCAGGGCAACAGTATACAGCCTTGCCGAACTCCTTTCTCAATTTTGAACCAATCAGTGGTTCCGTGTCCAGTTCTCACTGTTGCTTCTTGACCCGCATATAGGTTTATCAAGAGAAAAATGGGATGGTCTGGTACTCCCATCATTTTAAGAACCTGCCACAATGTGTTGTGATCCACACAATCAAAGGCTTTAGCATAGTCAATGAAGCAGAAGTAGATGTTTTTCTGGAACTCCCCAGCTTTCTCCATGATCCAGCGTATGTTGGCAATTTGATCTCTAGTTCCTCTCCCTCTTCAGAATCCTCCCTGTACTTCTGGTAGTTCTTGGTCCACATACTGCTGGAGCCCAGCTTGTAGAATTTTGAGCATAACTTTGCTAGCATGTGAAATGACTGCAATGGTGCGGTAGCTTGAACATTCTTTGGCATTGCCCTTCTTTGGGATCGGAATGTAAACTGACTTTTTCCAATCCTGTGGCCACTGTTGAGTTTTCCAAGTTTGCTGGCATATTGAGTGTAGCACTTTTACTGCATCGTCTTTTAAGATTTTGAATAGCTCAGCAGGAATACTGTCACCTCCACTAGCTTTGTTGTTGCTCAGACTTCCTAAGACCCATTTGACTTCACATTCCAGGATGTCTGGCTCGAGGTCAGTGACCACCCCATCGTGGTTATCAGGGATGTTAAGCTTTTTCTTGTATAGTTCCTCTGTGCAATCTTGCCACCTCTTCTTAATCTCTTCTGCCTCTGTTAGGTCCTTGCCATTTTGGTCCTTTATCATGCCCATCTTTGCATGAAATGTTCCCTTCATATCTCCATTTTTTTTGAAGAGATCTCTGGTCCTCCCTATTCTATTGTTTCCTTCTATTTATTTGCACTGTTCATTTAAGAAGGCATTCTTATCTCTTCTAGCTCTTCTCTGGAATTCTGCATTCAATTGGGTGTATCTTTCCCTTTCTTCCTTGCCTTTCGCTTCCCTTCTTTCCTCAGCTATTTGAAAAGCTTCCTCAGACAGCCATTTTGCTTTCTTGCATTTCTTTTTCTTTGAGTTGGTTTTAGTTGCTACCTCTTGTACAATGTTGTGAACTTCTGTCCATAGTTCTTCAGGCACTCTATCAGATCTAATTCCTTAAATCTATTTGTCACCTCTACTGTATATTCATTAGGAATATAATTTAGGTCATACCTGAGTGGCCTAGTGCTTTTCCCTACTTTCCTCAATTTAAGCCTAAATTTTGCAAGAAACAGCTCATAATCTGAGCCACAGTCAGCTCCTGGTCTAGTTTTTACTGACTGTATAGAGCTTCTCCATCTCTGGCTGCAGAGCACATAGTCAATCTGATTTCTGTGTTGACCGTCAGGTGATGTCCATGTGTAGAGTCGTCTCTTGGGTTGTTGGAAAAGAGTGTTTGCAATGGCCATCGTATTCTCTTGACAAAATTCTACCAGCCTGTGCCCTGCTTCAGTTTGTACTCCAAGGCCAAACTTGCCTGTTATTCCAGTTATTTTTTGGCTTCCTACTTTAGCATTCCAATCCCCCATGATGATAAGGGCATCAATTATTGGTGTTAATTCTAGAAGGTGTTGTAGGCCTTCATAGAACTGGTCAACTTCAGCCTCTTCAGCACCAGTGGTTGGGGCATAGACTTGGACTACTGTGATGTTGAATGGTTTGCCTTGGATTCAAACTGAGATCATTCTGTCATTTTGGAGGTTGTATCCCAGTACTGCTTTTCCTACTCTTTTATTGACTATGAAGGCTGCTCCATTTCTTTGGAGGGATTCTTGCCCACAGTAGTATACCTGATGGTCATCTGACTAAAGCCCATACAATTTTAAATGATTCCATAGATCTCAGGAGCAACTTTTTGGTGGAAAATGTATGAACAGGAGTTGTTCTGCAAGCTCAAAGCCACCGCTGGATAAAATCTTTTGTCAAAATACACATGTCCAAATCTCTGCCAGAAAAACTGAGCATAGATGGTTCTTGAGGTAATAAAGAGCTTGAGTACTGCTTCTGATTTTTGTGATATCAACGTATTGTGCAGTAACTGAAGGAAGCAGTTGGCTTGAATATAGTACTTCCGAGTTTTTAATGTGGTTTTTCCTTAACAGATGCGAGCACTTTCGTACAATGTTCCAGTCATACTGGAATGAGGACATGAAGGAGGTGATAGAAATAGACCAGTTTTCCTATCCAGTGTACCGTGCTTTTCTTCAATATCTGTACACAGACAATGTTGATCTGCTACCTGAAGATGCTATAGGTAGGTGAAACTTTTAGAAGTGAAGCTGGCCTGGGGGTGGGGGGGCGGAGGTGTGGATAATTTTCAGAAGTGAAAGAGGAAGGAAATGGAAGTGTGGGCACATCACCAATGGTGGGAGGAGGTATCCAAAAGGCTGTGTTATCCCCAAGAAAGCAGAGATCCCATAACTATGATTCTTTAAGTACTGTTTCCTTCATGACTTGGCTTTCCTGTTTGCCAAATGTGTTTTTCTTATATAGACCACTTCACCTCTAAGCTCCTGTTTTTCCCGCTTGACCTTGGCAGGAAGGTTGTAGAAGGATGTGGGTATGTAGCTGAAGGAAGCAGTTTTCAGAGAACCATAATCACATGATCTCTGCCTTCCTGGCCAGTGCCAGGGCATCAACCCAGGCCTGTGGGTACCCTTATCATACCATATGGGTATAGACCTTCATACCAAGTCTTCAGTTTGTCATTCCACCATACAAGCCTGCCCAGGTTTTAAGGAATTAGGAGAAGCCCTTCTCTTAGACTTGCCAATGTTTAGAGGTCCATTTGGTGGGGTCCAGAATTTGGAAGTCTTTGACAAGAGTAGGTTTGCCCTTCTCTTTCTCCCAGGAGACAAAGATGTTGTTATTCAGGCAGCCTTTGGAATATAAGCTGGTCTATTGCTAAAGGGGGATACAATTGAATGCTATTTATTTTTGTTGTGTTTTCAAGTTGGGTTTATAGGATCTGATTTTTTTTAACATTTTGTGTTTAACATCTGGTTTATTACTGATAGCTGCCTTAACTACTATTTGTTGCTGAAAAGGTGTTAAATGAGTATAATAGTACAGCATCTTGGTTTGCAGGACTTCTGGATTTGGCTACATCATACTGTGAAAACAGACTGAAAAAACTGTGTCAGCACCTTATCAAAAGAGGGATCACAGTGGAGAATGCTTTTTCATTGCTCTCTGCAGCAGTACGCTATGATGCAGAGGTAAACTTGAGCTTAAACACTTTAAGCAGCTGTGTTTTTTCTGAGTAGCTTTACAATCGGAGAATTGGAATATAGAAACATAGAAACAGTGCATCAGAAGGGGTCTCCCGGGCCATCTAGTCTGACCTCCAGCTCCAGCTAGCTCTGCTCATGACATGCCCACCATGTGCATGTCCAGCCTATCTTTGAACACCCTCACCAATGAGGCCTCAACCTCCTCCCATGGAAGCCCATTCCATATCTTTGGGATCCTAACTGTCAGGAAGTACTTCTTGGCATCTAAATGGAACCTTGGTTCCCTGAGCTTTGCTCCATTGGAGTGTATCCTGCCCTCCTCTGCAGGGGAGAATAGGTCTCTACCTACCTCCATGTGACACCCCCTCACATACCTGTATGTTGCCAACAGATCACCTCTGAGTCTCCTCCAGGCTGAAGAGACCCAATTCCCTCAGTCTCGCCTCATACGGCATCCCCTGCAAACCAGCCACCAACCTTGTGGCCCTACGCTGCACTGACTCTAACCTGGCTATATCCTTCCTGTAATGAGGGCCCCAAAACTGAGCACAATATTCCAGTTGTGGGCGCTCCAAAGTCGTATAGAGTGGTAGTAATACCTCTCTCAATCTAGAAGCCACACTTTTTTTTGGAATAAGTTTTATTCTTAATATACCTAACAAAAAGAAACTAAAAAACATCAATCATCGAAAACATCAGACCTGCTGGGTCAGCCCCCCACATTTTTTCTTTTTATGTTAAACTATAAACATATTTAAGTCTATGCATAGTCCCATTTCTCTAGCCAATGATAAAAAGAGTCCCCGGTTTGATAGAAGTGTGTATCTTCTTTCTCCCTCAGAGAGAAAGTCAATCTGTCCATTTCTGCACAGTCCAAGATCTTTTTTAGAGTCAGTTCATTGGTAGGTGGTTCTTCACTCTTCCAGTGTTGGGCAAATGCAATCCTCGCCGCAGTAGTTACATGTAGAGTCAAATACATTGCTTGTTTACTAAGTTCATCAGGTACCATGCCTAAAAAGAAAACTTCAGATTTAAATGTTAGAGGTTTTTGTAACATTTCCTCAAGCCATTTGTGTATTTTAATCCAATACTTTTTTGCCTTATCACAGGTTCACCACATATGATAAAAAGTACCCGATTTGTGTTTACATTTCCAACATCCATTTGACCTATTTGGAAACATCTTAACTAACCTATTTGGTGACAAATACCATCTATAAAACATTTTATACAAAATTTCTTTATATGAAGTTGCTAATGTTACTTTAATATTTCTTTTCCACAGTTTTTGCCATTTCTCTAACTCAATATTATATCCCCCCCAAAAGTTTTGTGCCCACGTTATCATAGTTTCCTTAACCTGTTCATCTTCCATTCTCCTATCCAATAGGAAATTATACAATCTTTTAATCATTTTCTCATCTGATTTAAGAATCACATGATCAAATGCTGTTGACTGCTTATAAAAGCCCCACATTCTATAGTCTTTAGCATATCTTGATTGCATTTGAACCTTGTGCCACCAAGAAATATTAATTCCTTGTTCTTGTATTTCTTGATTCAATTTTAATCCTCAATCATCATCCAAAATATCATATCTCACAATCATATCAAAATTCAATGCATTTGGATATATGAGAGCTTCCATAGGCAAAAGCCATCTTGGTAATTTAGTGTACAGTTTTGTCTTTAACTTTTCCTACACCAACATTAATGATTTCCTAATATAATGATTTAAGAAACAACCATATACCTTACACTTTTCATACCACATATAAGCGTGCCAACCCATTTGCAAATCATGCCCTTCAAGATACAAGTTTCTCTTATTTTAGAAGCCACATTTCTGTCTGTGCAACCAAGGGAGGCATTTGCCCTCTTGACCACCACATCACACTGCTGATTCGTGTTCAGCCTGCAGTCAACCAGCACCCCAAGATCCCTTTCACAATGCTGCTCTCCAGCAACTTGTCCCCTAACCTGTATTTATGACACCCATTCCTATACCCCAAGTGCAAGACCTTGCACTTATCCACATTGAATGCCATCCTGTTGTCTCCTGCCCATTTTCATAATCTGTTCTGCCCCAGTTTTAGTATCATCTGCGAATTTGATCAGCAGACTGTTCACCCCTTCTTCCATGTCATTGATGAAAAGATTAAACATCCCCTCCATCTAGCCATGTCGTAGAATTCCACAAGGTTTGTCTGGCAGGACCTGCTATAGCGGAAACCGTATAGTGTGGCCACCGGCCTCCCTTCCCTATCTAGCATCACTAGAATATGAATGAATATAGTATAGTAAGTGAGGAGCCACTATTCTGTGGGAAGATGAACAGTTCTTTCCTGAGTGCAGGAGGCCAGCTAGCTTTGGGGAACGCCCTTCCTACAGGGCCAGAAAGGCAGACTATGTTGAACTTCCTGAAGGAGGTGGGACTCCTCAGAAGTCTCCAGTTGTTTCTCTTGCCTTGTAATGGGAGGTAGACTTCCTGGCTCTCACAGCTGAAGGGAATCCTGAACTTTCAAGCCATTTGGCTCAGCAGGACTTCCGTGGGCCCAGGAGAGTGGGCTCTACATCCAGAAGTCTTCAAAAAAAATCTCACAGCAGTTGGGTGTTCATTGTCCCAACCTCTTTGCCCCACCACAGAATGCAAAGCTCACCAGATTTGTCAGCTGCTATCAGCTGATGGGAACAGAGTTTACAGATGCCCTGATGAGGAGGTGGCCCCTGGCTTTCCCTATGCCTTCCCAGCACTTCCTCTCATCCCAAGGGTGCTTAGTAAGATAAAAGACCATTTTGTCCTGATGAGGCTTGTGGTCCAGATCAAGTGATACCAATGCTCTTAACCTATAGGAGAGACTCTGCTAGCAGGCTCTATGGACCGTACCTGGCTGGGCCTTTCTGAAGTGGGCCTAAGCCTCAGGCAGAGACCCAGTGGCCCTGGGTATTCCAGACATCCTACTATTCTTCCAGGTGGGCCTATCCTCTAGTGTCCGGCCCAGTGTCCTGGAGAGCCCTAGGTTCCATCCTGGGGGAATCAAACAGATCATTCCTGGCCACTCAACCTCACATTACAGGTTCCTAAGGGCATCTGCCCTAGTCAAACCACCTCCAAGTCTGTAGGTTTCCCACCTGGAGCTTAAATATAGTGCTCAGCACCCTTACCAAGGCTCTGTTTGAACCTTAATGGCAGGGGGGGCACTCCTAAAGTTTTAATTCTTAAGTTCTTAGTATTACCTCAGCTGGAAGGGTCTCAGAACTGGGAGCCCTTTCCTTTTACAGGGGCCTGAGTGCCTTTCATAAAGACAAAGTTGTCCACTGTCTCTCATTAATTCCTCAAGGTTAATTCAGCCTTCCTTCGGTCAACAGTCTTTTTTCCCCCAAAGGAAAAGAGTGGCTCTCATTGAATGCTAGGCATGCAGTGAAGTTGTCTAGATAGAACAAGGCCCCTGAGGCAACTGTTCATTTCATTTCGGCCCTCCTCCTGGGGAAAGAAAGTATCTGTGGCCTCACTAGCCAGGTGGCTATGGGAATACATTGCCCTGGCTTACACCTCCAGTGATGTCCCAACTGTGTGTATCCTGGCACATTTGGCCAGGGGCATGGTGACCTCAGCAGCCTTGCTGAGGGGGAGGGTGCTCTTAGATGAGATTTGCAGGGTAGCCCGTCACTTGGTCCTCAGTCCATACTTCCACCAGGAACTACAAGATAGATGGCCTAGTTTCTACTGAGGGCACCTTTGGCAGATGCATTCTGCAGAATTTGCTTTAGCCTTGCAGGAGGCTGGCTAGAAGTTTCCGTTGGCACATCAAGGGATGTTCTGTTTTTTTCACATCCCCAGAGCTAGCTGGCCTCTGCACTCAGGAGAGAAACAAATTCTTTACTCACCAGAGAATCTCTGCAAGTGAATGAAGCCAGTTAAGCCCATCCATGGGGCTGGCATCGTTCATGACAGGTAGGTAGGTGCTTTCCTTCTCCATAGGTCACCCAGCAGTCTAGCATGACCTGGTAGCTCAACTGCAGCAGCAAGACAACTACCTCACAAAAACTGGTGCATTAGAAACATCAGTAGGACACTGCAGTAAGAGACTTTAACCACCCAGAGAGCCTTTAGGCTATTGGGGCAGCATAGAGAAGAGTGGAAGGAAGGAAGGACGGATGGACGGATGGAAAGAAGACAGAAAGAAAATAAATTCTGGGGAAGTCCCATCTCCTTCAGAAAATTCAGCAAAGTCTGCCTTCTCAGTCCCACAGGTGGGGCCTTCCCCAAAGTGATTTAGTCCTGGGGTACAATGTGGCATTGTCATGTGCCTTAGGGCCCTCTTCACAGTTTCTAGGTAGTGTATGGCATACATTATAACTTTTCAAAGTAATCTTACTTGAATTCTTAGTGGCTTTGGCAACTGTGTTTATAAGCTGCTGAATTAATTCTGGAGATCATCCAGATGATGTGCCATTTTATGAGCACGTGTGTGTTAGTCATGAACCTAGTATAATCATAAATACTAGTCATAAACTAAGGTGCTCTGAAGGCTGTGTGGCCTTCAGAGGGGGCCATCCAGAAACAAAGAATAATTATCAGCATGTCCAGTTGAAAGCCAAGGATGGCAGAAGTAAAAACAATCCTCAAGAGAAAATCCCTAAGTGTGTTTATAATGGTATGGGTAACTTAAAATTAGCCTGAGAAGAGTAAGTATTTTCAGTGAGAATCATATATTGGATGATTTGGGGTAGGGGGAAGAATGGAACTGAGTATCCTTGAAGATGCTGCAGCTGGTTGGCTGGCTAGAATCCTAAACAGGCAAGTTCCACACAAACATTTTGCTGTCGGCCCACTTATTTTCCCTGTTCACATTTTCTGCAAGACAAGAAGCTGCTGTTTCTATATCTTCCCGTGAATCTTGACTTGCCCCACCCCAGCATTCCTACAACTGGGAGTAGAAGACTGATTTTTAAAACCTTCCTTTCCCTTCTCTTTATTTTAG